ATATATTTATATCGTTAAAAAATTTTTTCATTTATAGACATGTACTGTCCATGTGCACGACACCATTCGAAAACCGATTTCCACCTTGGTTCTCTCCTTGTTAGAAAATGAGTTACTCAAACTATAACAAATTTCAAGGTACTTACAACGTACAGCAATAAATAGTCAAACTTTATAGTGGATAACAATGATTTTTATTATAGGGGGCACTTTAAGATTTTCTTTATTTGAAAAATGTAATAACTTGTTTAAGAATCTTTCACACTTACAATTAACAAATATTTCAATACCCTTGTTCAGAGATTTAACGTGGAATTATTTTAAAAATTCAGTTGAAAATTTGATATTTTGTTTGTTAAAATTTATTGAACAATATTTTTATTAAACTTCAAATGTACTATTTTTCACAACCTAGAATATAAATCAGGTATAAATAAGCATGTAAACCAGTACATTTATTTTACAAACATTTTAATTATTTGATTGTAGGCGAAATGACATAGGGGTGTGTTTGTGCATTACGATAGCGCGATATACCTTAAACGAAGTTATATTTTTAATGAAATTTGAATCCAATCTGAAAAAGGATGCTTGTCTTGACTTAAACTAATTTTGTTAGGGAAAGTATTTTTTTCGGCAGAAATTTCTTTTAAATACTAAAAATATTAATTATTTTCATACTATGAAATTTATCTATTCTTTGAATAGATACATTGAGAGGATAACTATATATTAATGCAAGTTAATAAAACTACAAATACATATTGTTATTTCAAACCAGAGCATAGTGTTTGTAGAACAGTGATGCATATCTTTTTGCAAACATCATGTATTAGATAAACAAGGAATTCCCTCCTCGACTCAATCGCGTAAACAACTGTGAAGACAAAAAGAAATGCGAAGAATTCATGAAGAACACAATAATACATCATTACTATAGACCTCAGTATTGTATTTAACATGCTTATTGGATAAAGTAATTTTGTCTCGTTCCAAGGTTCTATAACCACATTGCTGATAATGATATTGAATTAAATGTGTATGATGACTCAAGATTGTATATCTCGATTATAAAGACATGACTCTGCGCCTCTACATTAATGAAGATTGATGTAAAAAAAATGTTGCAAAATTCAGATTGACCTTAGAAAGCGAAAATCAATATTTTTATTGTTGCATTGCATTTTATTCGTCGTGAAGACATAGTTTCAGACAACCATAGATCGAAAATGAATTGTCCTCTTGGAAATTAATGTTAAAGTTAATATGTGAAAATAAAGCATACATAATACTCAGTGTTCTTTTCTGTTATACAATGTATCAGTGTGTTTCTATACTACAACTCGATCAATAATATCTCGTTTAAATCTTCCCAAAAGAAGTCCCATGGCGTCAAATCCGATAACCCATCGTCTTACAGAAAAAGAACACTGAGTATCGCGTACCTCTACTGTTACATACGAACTTTAACATTAATTTTCAAGAAAACAAATCATTTCCGAACCATGGATCCTTTGGGACTCTGTATTTCAGGGGTGTCGAACTGATAGCTTGCAAACTCTATAGTGATTTTCCCCTCACAGAGAGTTACCCTCTCCATACCTACTTTCACCTATTTGTATGAACATGAAGCTGCTCATATACACACAATCTCGTATAGCTCCTAAAGTAGGGTAGTGGCGGAATACTGTTTGCGAGTAGTTACTAGCGTGAAGGGAGTTAAACAACTTTGGCTTAAACGCTTTCATTGTCTGCCTTAGTAAATTTCGTACGAATCTACCTCTCCAGACTTAACAAAATGTAATTTTTAGAGCCGGCAATACTTAAAATTAGCGTCTCAATACACACTTTTCATGTTGCAGCTTATATAGTTCAGTAGTTGACCGTTCGTTTCACTAAAGTCCGCTAGTGTATCGGGGTATTTTTAACGGTGTCGGTATGTTAGAACAGTAGATAAAAAAAGACATTGTATGTACAGTTTGTATATATCTTAAATCTATGTTATTTATGGTATAGTCCTCGATCGACAATGCAGAAACACAAACTGAAAATATTATTACATGAGACATCTATACAAATTTTTGATCCGTGTTTCAATTTATATACATATTTTATCTTGTAGATGGCACCATAAGAGTATCTAGGTATATGTTTCCCCCCTTCTTATTGTTGTTTCTCATGTTCTTTCCCTTTTACCAACGTTCCGGTACGGTCACATTTTCTGTTTTGAGCGTGACCCACGTTTCGTGTCGTAAGACTTAAAGGTATGTATAATTATTAATAATATATTTTATATGGATAATATTGTATACTTTAAATTTATTGTGTATGAACGTACTAAATGATGAAGTTTTTTTAAAAAAATAACAAATTATAGTAGACGATGATTTACGATACAAGTCCTTCAAACATTGTGTGTTTGAAGCCATTTTTATTAGCATATTTAACACAAAAGAATATATATTTTAAACCTTTTTTTTTAGAAAAGTTTTGTTTTCTTTTTAAAAGTTACTCTCGTTCTATTTGAATTATTGTACATGTTTTATGAAAAGACAAAACAAGCATGGTTACATGAGCATTACAATTTTGGATTTTTGAGTACAATGAAAAATATTCTTATACTGGATACGACAAATATTGAATATGATTTGTTTATTCGATTGCTTTTACTTTATATCATATATTATATATTTTACTGAAAGTTAATTTACGTACATGATGAGTTAAACATTCACCATCTTTCGACTGTGATAATGATGATGATATATCATTTACTTACTGATGTTATTTAACTAATGTAAAAAATGCGTTACAAGATAAAATAGATGTTAATAACATAATTATATTTTTCAGAATGCGTTACGTGGCCGCTTATCTTTTAGCTGCCCTAGGAGGCAAAGCTTCACCTAACCAAAATGATATTGAAAAAATCTTATCATCCGTTGGAATTGAATCCGATACTGAGAAACTTAAGAAAGTTATATCAGAATTGAATGGAAAATCAATTGATGAACTTATTGCACAAGGTATGATAATTTAATTATGCATTTGTGTAGTTATATAGAAATGAAGTACTTAATATTTTACGTTGACATCAAAATTAATTTCTTCATATGTGTATAATCAAATACTCATTCTTTTCTTTTTAAATGGAAGGAAATAATTCACAGCTTTAGTAGAATTTATTTTATTTTTTTGATATTATACATATAAAATTAAAAGTATAAATAAATCATATGTTTAACTAAAATAATTTAACATTTTTTTTCATTGTAGTTTCTAATGATAGGATACCATAAGAAATGTGAAATTTAAAAAGAGTTGACATATTTTAGAATATGTGTATATGTTACAGGGCGAGAAAAATTGTCATCTATGCCAGTTGGCGGCGGAGCAGTTGCTGCTGCTGCTGCACCTGCTGCTGGAGCTGCTGCTGCACCAGCTGAAGAAAAGAAAGGTAAATATTTAGTTAGATATTTGTAACTATTTTTTGTAAAATGAAAAAATATAACTATTTATATTTTCCTTAACAGAAGAGAAGAAACCAGCAAAGGAAGAATCTGAATCCGATGACGATGACATGGGCTTCGGTCTTTTCGATTAAATTCCATAACAGCGGTAGCTGTGTAATAACTACTTGTATAACTTGTGTATTATACAATTTTTGACAAAACCATTTTAAAATAAATTGTATTTTTAATTTATTATACCTAATCAATTAATTTCTATTGCCTACATACAGTACACGAGATTTATATATTATAATATTATAATCACAGTGACAAAATTTTTAATTTTTTTATACCTTATTAGTATTGATATTAAATGTAAAATCTAAGTAGCCAATTGAAAAGTCAGGTTTATAATGGGTCTTCTAATTTTTATTTCCATTTTCAATATTCTATAACATACCTATTAAAATTATTTAGAAATGTTATGTTAAAAATTTGAATGTGGTATAATTAAAATTATTCGTTGGATTACAGCGTATACATGTGTAAAGTATATGAGGATCGTACCACGTATACACTTGTGCGCCGTTGCGGTTTCATTCACAGTAAGGAGTGGGGGGTGAGGATTAAAGAAAGGAAGGGGTGGCGTACGAGATTTACCAGAAAACCGAGTTGTATGTATTCTTACGCTGTCGAATATTTAAATAAACATACCCGTGACAACGTTCTCAATTGTTAGGCATTTTGTTGCATGATCTGCATGCCGTTACCACTTTAATATATTTAAAAATATTTGGCAATATCAAGATACAGAATCGATCGGGACACTTTTGTACTTGTGGAACTATTTTTAGATAGAGGGGCGGTCGTTGGCGGCCATGATGGGTGTCAGCGGCAAGTAGTGACGGCATTCGCTTTGCGTCAGTTGGTTTTGTGCGCTGATGGTCGGGCTGAGGTTTTCAGGTTGAGAAGCGCACCACAGGGCAAAACACTTGTACATAGAAACGGCGTACAGCCGCAATATATTCCCGATTAAATAACAGCGGCTGGAAAACCTCGGAAAGTTATAGAAAACATCGGAAAAATGACGCAGTTATTACCCATAAGGTTTCAAGAACATCTTCAGGTAGGTGACCCGTTTTCACTCCCGGTTCGTCAATTATTTCGACACGTCGTCAATGATTTTCTCATTTGCAGTTAATAATTTTAATTTCATTCTACGTTTCTGATGCTTTATTATATAGTTTCTCTGCTGTTGCTTATTACATTAATGTTAAAACGGAAGTTCCGTTAAAACCTTCCGAATTGACATTACTTTGACAGGTATAATATCATCACATATTTCTCGAGTTGCAAAAATCTGAATAAATTCGAAAGCATATTCATGTTCAAATTTGTAGAGGTTAACTGATCGTGGCATCGTCCTATATCGGAAAGTTAGGGAGAAAAATAAATTGATTTTTTTTATCAATGAGGGCCACGTCTACTCGACATATACGCCCCTTATTTCCGTCTTTATATGTTATAAATTTTCTAATTGAAGTGCTTGTCTTTTTCTACATAATTCAATACAGTATAGACTTCACATTTAATTTTATATGTTATTATGTTAATTTCTTTTTCACTAAGAAAATACAATTCTTAATAAATTACTTCCTGACAAATACAATGAGGTATTGCAAACTTAATTGTATCATATTGTCGTTGAAATTTATTCAATTATGAATTTTTACACGACGTATTATACGATTTATTGATTTTTGCACAATTAATATCTAGTAAAACATTTTATGTATTATTAGTTTAATTATATTCGTAACTTCTAATACAATTTTAGAATTAATGAATGAAATATTCTTTTATCATATTTATTTACAATTACTAAATATTTAACTTCCATATTTGCTGATGTCTAAGGTTAATGTTTATGATAAATGGCACCTTTATAATTAGCAGTAATGTTGAATTCTATTTGCATTTAACAATTTTTATGATTTATATTATTAAATCATTTTGTATAACATTAAACTTAATGATTATATGTTTAATGTACCCATTAAAATGAATGTTATATCCTCTTCTTTCATTGTATAAGACTGATGGTCATGCAATACAAAATTTCAAATATTTTTACATTTTATATATTTTATATTGTAATCGTTTATGTTTATTTTTTATTTTTGTTGTAGCTCACAGCTGTGGGAATTAATGCTAACAATGTTAGTTTTAATACACTTACTATGGAATCTGATAAGTTCATTTGTGTTAGAGAAAAAGTTGGTGATACCGCACAGGTAGTCATCATTGATATGAATGATTCGGCTAATCCAATTAGGAGACCTATTTCTGCGGATTCTGCAATCATGAATCCTGCAAGTAAAGTCATAGCTTTAAAAGGTAAAAGATGTTTTCTTTTTTTAATATGTATAAATGCTTGAACATTAATGAATATGAATTGTGAGAAATGCACATATTATAAATGTGTACACATGTATTATGTAATATAAAATATTGAAATGCGTGGAAAATGTTTTGAAGATTCATAATTGATTATCCATTTGGACTTTGTTCACAAATTTTTAATTTTTACCATGTTTATAAAGTTGTAAACAAGGTTATGTTAAAAATCAGTGATTTATTGTTAAGAACAATGTTCAAGTTCCTTATGTTCTAGAAGCATTGTATAGTTGTAAATCTTTTAAATCTTTAAATATTTTTGTACTTAAATTCTAGAATTATTATTTTTCTGCCGAAAGTATTTAAATTACTATTAATTTTTTATTATGTCAAATATATTATAAATTACTATTACATTAAATTTATAATATATTTGATGTAATAAAAACAAACGGATTGTGCAGTCTAAAATAAAAAAATTTATTTTATGTTAAAACAGCGATGAAAACACTTCAGATTTTTAATATAGAAATGAAATCAAAAATGAAAGCTCACACAATGACAGAAGATGTAGTTTTCTGGAAGTGGATATCTTTAAACACCTTAGCATTGGTAACAGAGACTGCAGTATATCATTGGTCTATGGAAGGAGAATCAACTCCTAATAAAATGTTCGATCGACACTCTTCATTAAATGGTTGTCAAATAATTAACTACAGAACTGATCCGAAACAGACTTGGCTTTTATTAATTGGCATTTCTGCTCAGCATAATAGAGTGGTCGGTGCTATGCAACTTTATTCCGTTGAAAGAAAATGTTCTCAGCCAATTGAAGGACATGCAGCTTCTTTCGCTCAATTTAAAATGGAAGGAAATGCAGAGCCAAGTAACTTATTTTGTTTTGCTGTTAGAACACTACAGGGTGCAAAGCTTCACATTATTGAAGTAGGTCAACCTCCTTCTGGTAATCATCTGTTCCCAAAGAAAGCGGTAGATGTTTTTTTCCCACCTGAGGCTGGAAATGATTTTCCAGTTGCAATGCAAGTCAGTTCAAAGTATGATGTTATATATTTAATAACAAAGTATGGCTATATACATATGTATGATATTGAATCTGCAACATGTATATTTATGAATCGTATATCTGGAGAAACTATTTTTGTCACTGCTCCACACGAAGCATCTGGTGGTATAATAGGAGTAAATCGGAAAGGTCAAGTATTATCAGTCTCTGTTGATGAAGAAAACATAATTCCATACATAAATGGAATATTACAAAATCCTGAACTTGCATTGCGAATGGCTGTCAGAAATAATCTATCAGGAGCTGAAGAGTTATTCGTGAGAAAATTCAATATGCTTTTCCAAAATGGCCAATATGCGGAAGCAGCAAAAGTTGCAGCAAATGCTCCGAAAGGAATATTGAGAACACCGGGAACAATTCAACGATTCCAACAGGTATGTTTGTAATTTACTATGAAGTAATGTGTGTAATGTTTTTATATCAAAAATAACCATTTATGTACTTATTAGGTACCAACAACACAAGGACAAACATCACCCTTGTTACAGTACTTTGGAATACTTTTAGATCAAGGACAATTAAACAAATATGAATCTTTGGAATTATGTCGTCCAGTACTGGTACAAGGACGGAAACAACTTCTTGAAAAATGGTTGAAAGAAGATAAGCTAGAATGTAGCGAAGAATTAGGAGACTTAGTGAAACAAGCTGATCCAACCTTAGCTCTCAGTGTTTACTTAAGAGCTAATGTTCCCAATAAAGTTATACAATGTTTTGCAGAAACTGGTCAGTTTCAAAAGATTGTATTGTATGCCAAGAAAGTTTCGTACACTCCTGATTATATATTTTTGTTAAGAAATGTCATGAGAATTAATCCTGATCAGGGCGTAGCATTTGCCCAAATGTTAGTTCAAGATGAAGAACCTTTAGCTGATATCAATCAAGTTAGTATTACATTATCATTTATGATATCACAAGTGTGTATTATTTTTTTATAATAAATATTTATTTATATTTATAGATCGTGGATATATTTATGGAACAAAATATGGTACAACAATGCACAGCATTTTTGTTAGACGCTTTAAAGAATAATCGGCCAAGTGAAGGAGCTTTGCAAACCCGTCTTTTAGAAATGAATTTAATGTCTGCGCCTCAAGTTGCTGACGCAATTTTGGGAAATCAAATGTTCACTCATTATGACAGAGCTCATATTGCTCAATTATGCGAAAAAGCTGGATTGCTACAACGTGCTTTGGAACATTATACTGATTTATATGATATTAAAAGGGCTGTTGTTCATACACATTTATTATCTCCTGATTGGTTGGTTGGATTTTTTGGAACATTGTCTGTCGAAGATTCATTGGAGTGTCTGAAAGCAATGTTAACCGCTAACATACGACAAAATTTACAGATTTGTATACAAATTGCAACAAAATATCATGAACAATTAACTACAAAAGCATTGATAGGTATGTATGATTTTCTATATACTTTCAATTGTATAATGTCATATAGATAATATTATTGTTTGTTTCAGATTTATTCGAGAGCTTTAAATCATATGAAGGACTCTTCTACTTTTTGGGATCTATCGTCAATTTCAGTCAGGATCAAGAAGTGCACTTTAAATATATTCAAGCAGCATGTAAAACTGGACAAATCAAGGAGGTTGAAAGAATTTGTAGAGAGAGTAATTGTTACAACCCAGAACGCGTCAAGAATTTCCTTAAGGAAGCGAAATTATCTGATCAGTTACCATTAATAATCGTTTGTGATCGATTTGATTTTGTACAT